TTTTTTTTGTTGCGTGCGGAGAACGTCAATTCTCTCTCATATAAAGACAATGCTTTACTTACAAAAAAAAGGAAATATTATGAACCGAGTATGTAACCAATTCAATCGATATTGGTTCAGTTATATCTGGTTTAGTCAAAACCAAAGCCAAATTTCTACGTTGATGTGAGTGTCATTACTTCAAAGTATCCAACGATTAGAATTTAGAGGCATCAACTGATATTAATGACTTCATTTGGCTATAAATAAACTTTAATACACCAATTAACATACAACCAAATGTCAATCTATACACATAAATTAGTATCTTCTTAGTAGAAGAAAAGATCACCACAATCCAAGATCAAAAGATGGTGCATCTTCCTTCACACCATCACTCCTCTGTTTGTCCGGATGACGCATAACCGTTGCATCTTCTTTCTTTTTCGTCTCGAACCTTTGTTTCGACAACAGCAATTGAAGATGTACCTGCTGTAGCAGTGACTTGTACCAGTCTTGAAGTACTACAGGTGGTTGTACGAGCGGACTGGCTGAGCGTAAGGCCTCATGGGCTTGAAGAGTGGGCTGGACTGAGCAAGGATGGATGTGACTTGATGCTCTAGGTGAGCTGGAGATGTTCCTTGGAAAGTGAAGATGCAGCTGATTGAAGCGATGCCTAAAGCAGCTACGAAGTACTTCAGGAAGCGGTGCAAGCATATGACGTGAAGTCTTAAGCGACGTGGGCTCAAGGAGATGGGCTTAACTGGATGTGTGAAGCTAGCTTAGAGCCCAAGAAGACGCAACTAAGCTAGAGGATATTCTTGGAGAGGATCTAAGAAGATATACTTGGAGAGGATCCAAGTTTGAAGACCTTTCACTACAAGAAAACACTGTCTTTGCGACTCCCAGAAGTGTCACAAATTCGTCGCAAATANCTGACTTGCGACTACTTTGCGACGCATTTTGGGCGTCGCTAAACATTCGTCGCTAATTTTTTGCGTTGCAAACGCGTCGCAAATTTCTTATCTTGTGCTAAGAATAAGAAAGGAGAAAGAAATCAAGATCTTGCGTGGAGTAGGGACCAAGACTAGGTCTGGACGTTTGCCTATTGGGTATAAATAGGTTAGAGTTAACTTTGGGAAAAGTTAACACAATTAGAGCTTATTTCTTAGCAAAAGGGATTCAAGGTTGTATAGCAAAAAGGAGATCTTGAATCAAGGGGCTAAGGGGTAGAGAGGTTCACAAGATCATGTGTGACTTGTGAACGTGTGAGGCTAGGATTGAAGTGTGAGTAAAATTTGTAAGTGCACGAATCATTCGATCTAGTAAAGCGTTTTGAAGAAAAACCCCTTGTGTATTGTGTTCGTTTCCTGTACCAGTATCTGCAATAATCTCTGTAGTAGTAGCTGTTACATTTTCA